AGAATGCCATAAAAAACATCATGAACTTATAAATTTTATAAACAAAAAAGCCTATTCTATAGAAAAAGAAGAAAAAAAAAAAAGAGAGAGAGAGAGAGATTGAAAACTATCTACCATGCTGTATGTCCCCCGTGAGCATTGATAACAGCCTCGATCCTCACTGGCATGGTATCAATAAAATACAAAATATCCTCCGGCCCAATACTAGCCCATTCCTCTACAACTGCTGCAGCCATTTCATCCTTTCCCCGTGGGCGTGGAGAGTGTTTGTTGAGGTTGTCCTTTAGAAGATGCCAAACATCCTCAATTGGATTAAGGTCTGGCGAGGAAGGCGGCCAATTTATCTTAGGCATTTCATAAACCTCGCGAAATGCCTGTGTATATACCGCTCTATGAGCAGAAGCTCCATCCTCCATGACCCACAAACTATAACCAACCTGCTGGCTTGCCTGTTGCCAGAAAGGCCAGAGAACTGGAGTAAGCACATGGGCAACATAACTGCGTGCAGTTATGTTGCCCCAATCATTTTTTTGCCACTGTATCAGAGGAGCCTTCTCTCCTCCCAATATCCCCCCCCAAATCATTATTGCATTTTTTTTTTTTAATTTGGGAGCTATACAAGACTCCTCATATGCTTCCCCGGGACGTCGAGTTACCCATATGGTACCACGAGAGCCCGAAAGCCAAACATAACACTCGTCAGTCCATATGACTTGACGCCAGTCATCTCTCGTCCAATGCCGGTGGGAGAGCGCAAAGTTGAGACGCTTCTCCTTCGCAGCCTCCGACAAAAAGACCTTCTTTCGCGCCTTGTGGCGCTTGTAACCTTCAAGAGCAAAAGTCTTGCGTAGAGTCTTCTCATGGGTATGAATGCCGCAAATATCAGCAATCTCTCGCAACGGCATCTGGCGGTGCAGGCTATCCTGGGTTGCTGTTGCTACTAAACGCTGTCAGGTCGGGGTATCGATTGAGAAAGGCCTACCCTTTCTCTTTTTTGGTGTAGTGGGAGCCTGGCAGATGTCCCAGACTGTGCTAACACCCAGATTTTGATCCTGGGCTATACGGCGGTATGACCATCCTGCTCGAAACTTGAGAGCTTGCACGAAGCAGCGGGTCTTGTAATCGGTCTCGTGAGTCTTGACTGGCATTGTCTATCAAAATTGTTAATATTTTGTATAAAAACCACGAGTTTTTCAATTCTTACCTATTCTCTGATCACGATATGTTGGAAAGTAGCAATTCTGGGGTGTTTACATTGCTAAGCTGTGCGGAAAAACTCTTTATTACTGTACACACAGACCATCTAAGAACCCCTGCACCAACCGCGTTTCACCCCCCCCTGGCGTTCGGATACTTCTTGCCTGGGACGAGTACCAAGGCATTGGTATTACCTGATGAACCATGGTTTTTGGGGGTGGAACTTCCGTACGGTAGGTTCTGCTCGACCGGGAAGTTGTCCTGTCGCCTGTAGGACCTTCCAATGAACTTTTTTTGTGTTGTACCCCACTGCTTCTTTCGCGGAGCCAAGCCACCACGCTCCTGATTAGATTCCTGGTTGCTGTCCTACTGTACAGTACTCGTGCCGTACTAGTACTTAGGCACAAGTAGTAGTACCAGTAGGGCTGTGGCCGCTGTGTCGTAGGTTTACGCGCGAAGATATCCTACTGGCCCCTCTGAATTAGTCAAAAAGGTTCATCGAGTTACATAATCCTCTTACAGTAAGGAGCGCTCGAGTACTTAAATTATAGGTCGGAGTATGATAGGCGTACTGCGAACGCCGAGGGTGTAATTCCCCAGATTTGCATGAGTTGTTTGGAGAAAATATCCGCCGGGCGAGAACTACCCCCTAATTCCGGAAAGCCCCGGATTCTTCAATTTAGCTGATGTTTAACACACCTGCGCTAAGTTGCATGTAAACTCACTCGACCCTAATTCGGACTTCCAGTGGGGAACCAATTAGCTCGAGTTGAGATACTTGTATATAACTCCTGTACTCAAGTGGAGACGAGCGCTCACCGCGAGGACAAAGGTTCTAGACTAGCTAATAACGAGCCACTAAGTAGCGGGGAGGGACAACTACCGCTGCGTCTCGGACCTTGCATATAAAAAAAAAACTCAGAGCCTATTTAATCGGAATGTTCGATTACCATCGGACAGCAATCGCTGGCAGCCAAGTATATACCGGCATTAAGAAACCTGGTTACTGGAGAACGCCCGCAGCAAGTTTCTCACCGACTAGCGCGACCATCAGCTCGGGACCAGTAGAAACGGCGGCATCTGCATATAGCATAAATCGTGAGACACCACAGCTCACTCGACCGTCCCAGCTATAGGCTTGTTTTTGGCCATGGTCTTACCATATATCGAATAGGTGACCAGAATACTGGATTTAAGCTCTAAATTCAGCAATGGTTTGCCCCACGGGTCATCCGGGAAGTAAAAGGACACCGATGTTTGCATTGGTATCTGTAAGCCTGCAGCTATGGCTGTCTACTTGTACAGGATAATGCAAGTTGTTCGGTCGGCATTGGATGTGACCAGGAACTGCAATTTGGATCTTAAAGCGTGTAAAACCACCACCAACTGGTCATCGGTATTTGGTGTATGTAGCTGCCCGAAAACGACTGCACCTGACTGTAATGTCAGCTTTCCCGTATGAGTTGTCGAATGACTTAGTTAGGTACGTGTGTGAACTCATAGGTGTAAGTAGTTGAGCTCACGAATCAGGCAATCCCGATGACGTTGTGGGCTAGTACAAATGAGACCGCAATATGATAATTAACCTCTGAAATCAGGAGTGCTATTGCCTCCGGTTTGTAAGCCAGACCAGGCGGTTCAATAGCAACTACCTGCAGTCCATCGTGATATTTGCACTTGTCACGTCAGTACTGGTTCATTCCTCGCTTTTTTTCAAACAAGGAACTGGCTCTTGCGTCCCGGAAAAATTATGGAAAAAAGCTGGGCGGAGTAAGAGGATGGAGAAGGATTCCAATGGAGAAGAAGTCCGATGATAGAGGTTTCTTTGGAAAACTGCCGAGCTTCATGCGCCTAAAACGGGAGGCTTACGGAGGTTTCTCCAAGTGACCTGATTTACTGCCAGCCCCTCCTCGCTTCCCCTCTCCCGCTTCTCTTTTGCCCCAAGTTTCTAGGCCCATATTTCCCCAGGGATCGGCGAAATGAGATCTCTCTTTACAATAATTCATCCTTCAAAACTATTCAGGAACATTATCGGCTAATTATCAAAGGTTTCCATTGTCCTACCCTTTTCCCCAAGAACTTGAAAACATGTAGAAAGACTACTTCACTACCCTTGTTCTGAAATCACATTTCTATTTACTTCTGATTTGATGTTAGATATGTCATGGATCTTACTTTCCAAGGGTTAGGCTTTGGGGGGAGTGCTAATAGACAAGGATTTGTCATATCATAGAAGCTCACTCGGGATCCTATCAGTAGCCCGGGGGTTTTTTATCCTAATTGTTGTGCCATTTTGGAAATACTGTTTGGAGCCTAGGCTATCTCAGACGCAAGTAGGGAGAATTGAGGGAATTAGACAGTGAATTTAATTTCTATAAAAATATGTGAGTTTAGGATCAAACCGTGTGTAGAGTCGTCCCGTCTGTGCAGCAGTTTGGGCTAAGCATCCAGGTTCGGGACAAGTTTAGTACTTTTGTGACCAGGGAAAAGGGCGTTACCTGGGCATTAATCTAGGTATCTGGATGGCAAAGTGCCCCGGGATGTGTAGATGGATGAAGAGATAGCTAGGCGCGGTGCAGGTTGAGGAATATTCCCCGCGACGATCTCCGCAGAGAGATACGAGCTAACCGGTATCATACAGTTGGGGGCCGCGAGGGCAAGGAGATTGGGTTTAGACCAATCTGGTTCTTGGTGGTTCTGTTTGGGCATAAGCGCTGCAATGGTCAACAAAAACCTCCACTTTTGTTTATTTGTCCCACTGCGGCCTATCTGCAATGCTTGTTAAAGGCCACATGGTTTCTCGCGGTGCTGTTCGTCCGTTTGGAGTTGCTGATCTTTCATCTGGGTTTTTAAGCCAGATATGATACTGCTAAAACAGCTCTGGGCTTCTACGGAAATATTCCATTCACCTCCAAAAATCACCTTTGGACTTCGAGTTGTGCTGAACACAATTGCCGAGAGGAGTCAAGTTACAAAGGTGGAGTTAAAAGACTGGAGGGTAGGTTGCGTCTACGCTTGTACAGTACGGCTCGCAGGCAGTTTTCAGTGACCTTGATCCTTGATGAGAACACCAAACGCCGACCCTTTTTATATGATACCCCCTACTTTCAATGCGAGTCAGTTTTTATAAATACTTTGTAGACATGCTAGTCTCACAATCCTGAAGCCGTTGAAATCCTTTGCTCACACGATGGGAGCCGGCTTAGCCCTATCGCTATACTGGTTTTGATCCGGCTCGTGCCAAACACCAAGATTACCTTCCCAGTTATGAAGTGCTTAGGATAGATTGAATTTTAGTGGTCCTCGCAAGCGCTATATAATTGATATAATGCTCTGAAGACCCACTTATACAAGATCCATGGGAACATAACTCGAGTTGTACTCCATGTGTCGAGTGTTGATGGGGAAGTCGGGGTAGACCAGGACCTCGTGTTGGAGTGTCCTTAGCCGCAGGGTAGTGGAGTTGTGGTGGATGATGAGCGGTAAGTGAGGCCGAATGGGCCTAGGAAATCAGTGGCCGGTTCTTTCCTGTATAGATAGTCGAGCACCCCCCTCCTTTCTGTCAATACCTCGCCTCATGTTGGGAACGAGTGACGACTCGTGCACATAAACTCTAGAAGCACGACCGAACAGGGACTGTGATCCCGAGAAATCAGAGCAGGAGATCTAGTGGCCAAAAGTAGTTGGTGAAGGAGAAAGAGTATTCCTATTCTAAACTACACTATGGGAATAACTATAAATACATCCTGATGGGGCGAGCAAACCAAACATCTCAATTTGAACCAGGATAGACTACGTGGAATCTATCCCATAAGCTGTAATGGGTCCTCCGGAGGCCATCTAGTCTGACAAAAGCTCAGGCATCTCTTGATGCTCTGAAGAAATTTTCTCGTAACCTCGTCGCTCATGATGTGTGCTGCTAATCCTTTCTCATGAAGCTTCTCGCGTGCGGAACGTTCGTGGATACCAACCATGGTAACGCCAATGGGCCAAGCACTTTAAGCAGTTAGCATCTATCCGAAGTGGAAGGGGAAAAAGCAAAACCGGTGGAACATACGCGTTTCCGATACTCAATCTTAGGTAGACGTCGTTTGCCCGAACGTATCTTCTCGCCTGAGCTTCTACCACAATTTCGCAGACTTTCGTGTATATATCTTCGTGCAGATCCCTTTGTTTGAAGTGGCGGAATAGTGGGACCATATACGTCTTTGCCTGGATCATCGAGTTTGCTGCCGCTTTGCCTTGGAATGAGTCTTTGAGCGCGGACGACCTGCTCTCAAGTGTAATCTCCCATTCCGAGAGAACCAATGCAAACCATGCTGCGAGTTGCCGGTACACCTTATCTTTGTCGTCTAGAATATCGCCTGGACTGAGTACCATTTCCTCCTCCGACAGCGGAGGTGTCGCCTCCCTATTCTTTATTTCCAGCGCTGCTAAAAGCCTCTTCAAGCGGCGGACCTTTTGCGGATGTGTTTCGGCAAACAAACAGGCAGGTTCCCCCATGCTTCGTAACTTCTCTATCGCCTCAGCTTCCGTCATAGCCTCCGAACTGTTTGCTTCATCTGAACTGTCCAAACCCTCCTTTGCGAGCGGACCCTCCTTCCCTAACTGTTGAGTTTCCTCTTCCTTCCGACGGCGTTTTTCTTCCGCAAGCTGCCTTTGTTTAGCCTTAGTTGCCTCGCGGCGACTGCGCTCTTCTTCTTCCTCCTGTCGTTTCCTCTCGGCTTTCTCGCGTCGTTCTTTCTCGAGGCGCTTTTGCTCTTCCTCGTATTCCCGGCGGCGCTGCGCTTCAATTTCGGAGCGCTTCATGTATTTTTTAGGGGCGGGTTCTGCGGGCGATTTCGAAGTGGGCTCTGGCTTCCGCTTCTTTGAAATCTCGGCGGCCATGATTGAGGCGAAATCCATGGCGAGTGATTGTGATTGACGTCTGGTTAATGTTTGTGTGTTGGCTCTGGTGATTAACGACTAGGGACCCGGCAGGTTGTCCACAACTGCACAAGATCGAATTGAAGGTAGGGTAACTTTAGTACTCCTTGTTCGAGGCTACTCTAGGAGCACGGAAGGGGTAACTCGTGCTCCCGTGCCTTTCTAACCCTAACTAATCGTGTCCTGTTGCTTCTGTATGATACTCCCTCGCGTGAAGCACCGAGCTTTTTTTCCCGGGCATTTAACATCTTTATTATTAATTTACGGTTATTGCTTTTTCTCAAGCCTAAACCTCCAAAATGTCGAAAATGTGGGAGGTTGACCCCGAGACGAGGAGAAAGGTACCTTCTTCTCCCCGGGACCTCACCGGGAGCTTGTTTCTGACGGAAAAATAGCTCCTTGAGATCCAAAAGAGGGATGGGAATAATGTTTGCTGCGATTGTAATGCTCCTGCCCCTCAGTGGGCCAGCCCGAAGTTCGGGGTATGTTTTCTTTGTGCTCCCCACTTGCTTTAGCCTTCCCTTGGTGTTATAGACTCACAATTGGTTAGATTTTCATCTGTTTGACTTGTGCGGGTGTTCACCGGTAGTCCTTTCTTTCTCTGCAGCCTACCTATGAGGAAATCCACATCTGACTGCTCGCGGGAGAGGGGGAGCTGGTATGGCTTTTAGAGGTTTAGGTGTTCATATATCTTTCGTGCGCTCAATCACAATGGACTCCTTTAAAAATGAGGAGATCAAACGTATGGAGAAGGGAGGGAACAAGAGGTGCCAAGAGTTTTTTCAGAAGGCGCCCGAGTTTGGTGATAATATGACTATTAGCGAGAGGTACGGAAGCTCTTTTGGTGAGGACTATAAAGAAAAGGTTTGCTTCAAGACGTTCTAAGCTTCTCGGTTGCGCGAGGCTGATGCTATGGTGTAGTTGACGGCAGACGTCGAGGGTCGGGAGTGGGTACGGAAAGAGCGCCTTAAAGCGTCTCCTTCTCTTGCTTTGAAAGGCCAGGATAACCATTCCACGACATCACTGTCCTCCGCTCGCTCTGGGTCCCCGGCCTCAGTCAATGCCTCGAGTAAAGAACGGAATGAAGCCTATTTTTCTAGACTCGGGAGTGAAAATGCAAACCGCTCAACAGATCTCCTGCCATCGCAAGGAGGGAAATATGCTGGTTTCGGCTCAACCCCCGCACCAGACATGCCGGCCGGCGGCAACTCTGTACCCAGCCTTGACGAGTTTTCAAGAGATCCTGTTGGTGCATTGACTAAAGGCTTCGGTTTATTTACCACCCAAGTTTCCAAGACCGCCCAAACTGTCAACCAGGCTGTCATCCAACCAACCGCGCAAAAGCTTGCAGAGGCAGACCTAGCGAAGCACGCAGCGGCCTTGGGACAGAAAGTTACTGAGACCGGAAAGTATGGCGTCGAGAGTCTTAACAGGTTCGTGGACAATGCCGGGGGCCCTCAATACAAACCCGTCGCCCGGGGCGAACCGGAGCACAAAGATTTTTGGGATAGTTTCGGCGAAGAGAAAAACACCCCTGCGAGTATGGTATCCAAGAAGTCGGCCGCTACTGGGACTATGGCATTGAAAAGCGGAAAGAAGGATGATCATTGGGATGATGATAATTGGGACAAGTTTTAATTTGCTGTACTTTTCTGTTCTATGGGGCTACCGCTAGTAGCCGTGTGAGTGTGACTACTATCTCTGGGGTTATAAATAAAGGGCTCCGGGATTGATATTCGTACTTGGTCACGGCTGTTTTTATCTTATTAGACTTTCACGTTTATGTAAACCCGATGGTTTATGAGAGGTTAGAAAATATTGATTTGTGGTGTTCGGTCTACGGAAGTGTTGGATTTGACCCTGACAGGTGCTGCACTCCTTCCTCCTTTTGTCCACTCTTAGAGACAGTACCACCGGATTCCTAGGAAAATTAGATGTGGTATGCTTGCGCGCGCTTGGGTTCATGAAAATAAAAACTTAATTGAATTTTGATATCAAAGCCATTTTCTAAATTACCGTTTTCAGCCTGCCAGCCTGCCAGCTGCTGGGGAATCTGCTCCAGCTAGCATGCCAGATGCCATCCGAGCACAAGGTGCCGGTAAGGGCAACATAACCGACAGACACTCCAATTTCTCACGCGCCCAATGAACCAATAACAACCCACTTCATTCAGCCATCTATCAACACCAACCCCACACGATGCCCTCGCGAGTTCATTATGTCACTGCGAGGCAGGCAAATAGGTTCGTGTAAAGAGAATACAATTATCGCTAAACAAAAGCCAAGGAAAAGGAGGAAGGTTGAGGAGGGGGAGGAGATGATGGGTAAGGGTTAGGGTCGCTATCACACAGTCTCGACTTCTCCGCAATGAAGAATACTAACTACTCTTCCTACCTCAGATATGCCTACGCCACTGTCTACCCCGGATCGGTGGGGGAATGGGGATTCTCGAAGGGAGAGAGATTGTACGCTTAGTGGGGAGGTTCAGAATTCAGATAACTTGCACTCGTCGCCGCCGTTGGCGAACCGACAGCCGGAGGAGGGGGAAGAAATAGCGGAGGAGGGAGGCGATGAGGAGCTAGTGTTGGAAGATGCGCTGCTGGATTCCGGGTATAGGATACTCTCAGTTCTCGGCCGCGGGAACTTTTCGACGACATATCTTGCCGAGCATGTTTCGAAGGACGTGGATGCGTCGGACAGCTCGCCACTCGTAGCCATCAAGCGATTGAAGCGGCCGTTCGGGGCGATCGGCGAGAACGAGTACTCGCTGCTACAATACCTCCATTCGAAGGGCCAGCATCCCCGCCACATCATCTGTCCGATATCCTGCTTCCTCGCAGAAAGCGGCCACTTTCACCTTGTCCTCGAACGTTTAGATTCTGCCCGGCCTGTTGCACTGGTGAGATGTTTTTGCGAGGAGGTTCATTCGAAACTTGCCTGCCCGGCTAGACACCTTGCCCTCGCAAAGATAATATTACAGCTTCTATCTGGGTTATTATCGCTTCACTCCCACAATCTCATACATGCGGATCTCACGCCCGCAAACATGCTTTTTCTTCCATCCTCAAATAGAATTAAACTTATCGATCTGGGGAACACTATCCGCCCCGAAGACCGGGAAGCCTACCTAGATGACTTTGGTGTCCAAAGTGTATGCTACCGTGCTCCGGAAATTCTCCTAGGACAGGGACCCCTTAGTCGTGTTATGGACGTTTGGAGCGCGGGCGTGATCGCAGTCGAGTTGCTACTTGACGGTGAGGTCATAGGGGAGGGCCTACCAGAGGTTGAATTGGTTAGGAGCCATATAGAAGATCGTGAGGGCATGGTTCGCCGGGTCATTGAGCTCGTGGGAAGCGTGACGGAGTATCGGTATGGGATGTACTACTTGGATGCATACGACGAGGCTTCGTTCGAGTCGGTCCCGTTTCCACCGAAAAAGAAACGGCGAAAGACCATAGAGAGGTGGTATGTTGCAAGGACGGCTAAGCCGGAGGAAAATACGCCCAAGGAGAGCCCTCGACGGCCTAGAAAGGGTATTCTGAGATCTTCGTTAACGGAGAAAACGGGCGAGGTAGAGATCGTTGAATTCTTGATGGAGATGATGGAGGTGAATGTGCGTAAGAGGAAGACTGTCAAGGAATTGATGAGGCATCCGTGGCTGGTAGGGAAACTACTCGGCGATTGGGGTGGTGTGTTGACGCGCGTGCCTAACGGGGACGATGGACGGTCTGATGAGGAGTTGGATGATGTTGGACTGGGTGAAGTGGATGAGGAGGAGGAATTGGATGAGGACGGCTTTGGTCTAGCAGAAGAGACGACTTTGGTCAATGATGAGGAGACGCAAGATGAGCTCGGGAACTCCGAGGGTGCATCGTTACTTGTCAATGGACATGGAAATTTATCCGCTATTAAAGAGAGTATTCTAGAGACAGAAGAAGACCCTCGGGCTAGCCCGCCGAAGCGGGCCAAGCCTCTCACTCCGCAGCCAGAATCCCGACCTCAATCAGAACCCCGATCATCACTAGGGCCACAAGAAGATTCATGGTCCCGGCTAGACATAGTCTCCGCCTCCTTGGATCCAGCCCATCAAAAAACTTCACGCGGCACCCCGCCGCGGAAAATAAAGCAGGAGGGTCTGTCAGAAACCCCTGAGATCACAGCAGAACCTGCCTCACCCCCATCTACAGATAGCACGCCAATTATCAAACCCGAGCCCCATAGTCAGGAATCTGAGATTCCCACAATGCCTCAAAATCCAAACACTCAGCGCCCAGCTGTAGACCTACTATCAGCACCCATAAAGCCCAAACCAGTAGACCCCGATATAACCCCCTCGTCCTTTCATTCACCATCTCCCGATCCATCGCCACTTTCATCTGTAGTTACCTCCCCCCCCTCTCCCATTCCCCTAATACCAACAGATTTGATACGAGGAAGAGCGAGTGATATATGGCACCGGGACTTGGCGGCAGACATGGTACTTCTCCTTCATCCCTTCCCCACACATTATAATGCTAACATTTCCTCCCCAAACAGGATGAAGTTCCTGAAGATGAAGGCGACGACGACCAAGTCATGCTTTTATAACTACGGCTCTTCTTTTCGGTTATATTATGTTCTGCATTCTAGGCTTCATATTTAACGCATGTCATTCTGGGATTGTTTTCTTTTTTAGCGTGGAGTATGGTGTTGGTGTTCCCTTCCTTGTTTTGGCTGTTCATTACGAGATTTTGCGGGGTTATAGCTTGTGCGTCTGTAAGATTTCATGCCTTTAGTACAAGTAGAAGCGGGGCGTTTGGGCCTGCATCTAATGCTTCTAGAGAAGAAACCAGGCCCCGAGTGATCTTTTGTGAACGTGTTGTGAGTGAGCAATGGTGACTTTTATTCGGGGGGCATTGCGCGGAATGTAGGGAGGGCATTCTGAGGTATGATAGCCCATGCGTCGCGCTTAAGAGGGGTATTGTGGAGACCTCTTGTGTATGGTGTTGAGGGGAGCGTTGCTGTTGTCAAGGTATCATACAGGAGAAACCACCGGGTATAAATATACAGTATGATGAGGACGCACTCCATGCCTCTCATTCAGGCCGCGCCCTCTAGTTGTAATTGACTGCGTGGCCATCCACGAGTCCCACAGTATGTAAGAAGACCCATTTCTACCCTTTTTTCAAGGCAAGTTTTTTTGTGGTCAAGCCCAGACTAGTTAGAGAGCTTTGTTTCTTTATCCTTGTTTTTGGTTATGGAGAAGAACTTCCTTGTAATTGTTCAATACTAGCAATGCCTCACTTATCTCAGAGGTCTCCCATAGATAAGAGCACTCAAAACAGAACATTCCTCCCCTTCGCTATTACACCCAATTGCTGTAAAGGAAGCACGAGCAAAGCGATTTTGCGCGTCCTAGTTATTTAACAATAGCAGCAGCCACACTCAGCCGATGGATTATGTCTGCCATATTCACTCGGACGGGCTGTTGATGCTACTGAAATGGTCGTGCGTGATCAAAATCAAGTATTGAAAATCATTGAAAGTTGGAAAAGATCGGTCCCAACTCTTGGAAGAACAGAGCCCCATGAGGGACAAAATATGACTAACTTTTATTGCTGTTTTGTAAGGAGCGAATAATATTTGATGACGGGGACTGCTGAAATAGGATTGGGGGTTGCGTGCCCGGTGGAAATAGATAGAAAGATGCGGAATAGCAGCTTGCTTGCTTTGCACGGTATCGTACTATCATAGTTTACCAGATCACGTAGCCTAATGTGGTGGGGGGTATGGTATATATGGAGGGGATTTCCCGCTTGTTTTCTACAGAGCGGGGGTTCTTCAGAGAAGCATAGGTGGACGGGCAGGGAGACCGGGACGGGTTGGATTCCCTTGAGCTGAAATGTTTCCTTGGGGTTTGCTTTGTAGTTTCTTGAGGTTTCGGGACTTTAGTCTATTGGGAATTGAATTGATTGTATCATGGCTCGCGGTTGTTGGTCAGCGAAGCGCGGTTTGACCAGCGTGAATTCCACTACTTGTCCCCGTTGCGTCCCAGGGAGTGGACCTACGAGCCCGCATTAATTGCTTTCAGTATGAGTAATGAATGCAGAAACAGGTGCGAGGAGTGTGGGTTATTCCTCAAAAATTATTCGGCGCGGTGAGTCTACTCTGGTGGGAATTTGACCTCACGGGGGAACGCTATCCAGGTGGTCCCCCACCCAACAACAGAAGAACCCTCGATCAGCAATTCGGCATCAGACAGCTCCCACTCGAGGCGAGAGCCCAAGCATCGGGCCAAATAACCGCATGCGCAGACCATGACCCTGACATCATTTCTATCACCGATGGAATCCTTAAGGGCTCGAGGGGTGGACGGGGTGTATTGTTGCTAGTAGACAGTTTCAATTCGATTATCCACCGTTGCAGCATGACTTGTTGTTCTCCGGCGGGTTTTCCGTGGGGGGGGAATGGGCTTCTGGCCTTAGGGGAGGATGATGTTTTTTACGCCTGCCCTTGTGAGGGGGGTGAGTTTCGCATTTCTTTAACTCTTCTTGTTGCTTGAGGTAGAGGGGGGTCTCTTGGAGAAGCTACCCGGTTTTGCTGGAGATTGTGAAAGTTATTCAATGTTGAGAGGCTTTTTTTTGTATACACTGAGGTGTGTGTGGGTGTGGATGAAAGAATGAATAGTGTTTCCTAGATAAGGCACGAGGTTATCGTACGATTGATAAACATGCTAGAATTATTGAAGATTAGCAGATTCCGTCTTGGCGGTTGATTCGGAATCCTGGAATGTCGGTGGTGATGGCGAAATGGAGTATTATTCTGCTATGATGGTTTTGTGCGTTTCCTTGAGCCTACGGAAATGCTGGGCTATGCAAGTATAACTTGTCCGAAAAGCGATTTGTGATCTACCCTCCTATGTAGCCCATGAGTATGCTCCTGTTTCTAATAGCATCCTTTGCACCATTAACGAGATTTGTGTGCGAGGACCCCTAAAACTCCCAAGCTCCCCCGACCAATTACGGATACAGATTGACAGACCCGCGAGGACAAATAACCACATTAAAATGACCCCCCATGTTCTGACCCAGGACCCACAATTCAATCCGGCACCCCGCCCCACCACGAAGATGTACCCCTCTGCATTAAATTGATTTTCCAAACCGGGTAGGGCAAACTTTGCGGGGTGATATGTCCACCTGAAACGAGAGACAGAGAATGAAGAGCGCTGCCCAGAGTCTTGCCTGGGGTAGGCAAGCAGGTAGACTATAGGCCTCGTTGCCGTATCAGCCATAACATCCAAACCCATAACCCACTTTAGCGCAAAATCTCGTGAGAATTGTGCAGGGGAGGGGGGGGGTTTAGGAAAGAAGAAGTGTTAAGTTAACTATGGTACTGTATGATACCACCCGTATGATACCACTTAGGACGGTCAGCTGTCAGCAGTGTATGTCCCGCCCCTACAAAATTATCGTTCTTGCCAGAGTCAGCACATGTCCCAACATTCTGTACCTATCGGCATTAGTACCTTTTGAACAATTTTCAGCACTTTGGTTCACTCTTGTTTCCTCAAAATCTTGTATCGCAAAAGTTACCTTTATCAGGTTCTGGAAAGCTAGGCACAAACAACAGCTTATTGTGCTATACCCGCATGTGCCACTTCAGCTCAGCATCATTTGATAGGGGTAAGCGAGTGATATTTAATGACGACCTGGGTGCGTATTGAACTGTTGCTTGCTTCCCTGTGTATGTTTGGCCGCTAACTCTCTCGGAGGGTGCTTCGTTCGTGCTACGATCTGCTGTTATGGTACTAGTAGGAGGGTATCACGTGGGCTTTGTTACACAGAGGGCGTGCAAATCACGCCCAAGTCAAAAGTGGAAAGCGCGCGGGGCTTTGGTGGATGGGTGTGGGATTTATGATTAAGCTCGTGAAATGCATAATTTGATTTGGGGGGAGGTGTGTAGGTGGACAGCTAATTCGTTGGGGTTTCCCTCTTTCGTGTTCGCCTTATCATATATTATACGGAAGACTCCACGACAATGGTAATAGCCTTGTACATCGTCTGGCTCTCACCCATTAAGCTCGTAGTGGATTGAGCATGTATATCACATCACCGCACTCACACTCTCCACACTCGAGTAAAGGAAGAAGAAAAGCAATAAAACTAGAAAGAGAGAGAAGTCAATAAAGCCCGAACGCCGGCCATTTCCCACCGAGCTTGTGTAAGCAGATCCATCCATCATCTCCGAAACTCAGTAATTATCGCATCGACAACCCCCCACCAATCTTGTACCTCACCAATTCCCCGGCGCACCTCGCGTCAACAGCGCTGTCATGACCGTCCGCCGCACCCTCTACCTGGATCCTTCTCCCCAAGTGCACGTCCGCAAGGTACTTCAACTTGTTCCTGGCTGGGGTACCTCGACTATGCGGGAACAGTATCGCAGTGTCGATAATATTCTTGTGGCATAGTCGCAGGGCATTAAGATCGTTTTCGAGCGCGTGACCGATGAGTGGGGTTTCAGAGTCGATGTATGTGAGTAGCAGGTCACGGGCTGCGGATGGGGATGGGATGATGCATAGGGGCGTGGAGGGGGCGGGGGAGCAGGGGTTTATAAGGGTTGTAGTGGTTGGGTACGGTTGGGGGGTGAAGGGCTGGGCAGATGTGAATTCTAGCGGGTGAACGCCGGAGAAGCGGGTGTTTAGGTCTAGGATTTCACCAAATGGACGGACGAGTGAATCCATAACGATTGCGCCGGTGGGGAAGGCAGTGGCGGTTATGCGGATTAGTTCCATTCCGCGGGTTGTGTAGCACATTTCGCAATCTAGGCAGATGGCTTTTTCGACTAGCGTGGGGGGAGAGTCTTTGGATTCTGGGGAATCGGTAGGGGGACTGCCGGCAGTGGGATTGGGAGGCGGTGGAGTGCGGGTAAACGGCCACGATGCAGCAAGACGCTTGGCCTCGCTGACCTTGAAAACGTGGTTCTCAGCTGTAGTGCAACCGGGTCCCCCGGCGACGCGGCGACAGCAGGAATAGACCTTCTCTCTAGCGTTGTCCTGGTATGCTGATCCGGTTCCTGTGCAGAGTTAGTATGCACCATGGATTAGGGCAGAGACTGGCATACGCTGTAAAAATATCAATCTCCCCCAATGAAAAATGCACTTCCCTCCGCTCGCCAATTGCCCATCAACCTCTCTTCGCCCCTGATAGACCTGGAATCTAGTGGTGCAGCGGTCGCATTGCTCCCATCCTCCCGCAGACTTCAATCCATCCAACGAAAGCTTAATCTCCTTTTCTGTGGGTGGGTCAAGAATATACCCATACGTCTGCAGCTTATTTGGTGAATTTATCAGAGGTCTCAACGCATTAAGTTCCTCCGGTATAGTCTTTCCCGTCGAAAGTGCCGGCGCCATGTTTTCATCCCCACTCTTCATCTGCTGCTTCGCCTTTTCCGCCTCCAGAGACTTCCTATACTCCTCCGGCGTCGTTTTGGACATTTGAAGAATGCGCTTCTTCATCGCATGGGTATATATCGGCTTCTTGTGGACAGCGAGCGTTTCCTCCTCATCCAGTGCATACCGTAGCATCAACTGCTCATCCCCCTTGTGCTCATGCAAACGGACATATTCCTTATGCAACAGTGTCAGTAGCCTCAATCTGATATCATGAGTAGCCGGCGCCGCGGCTACTAGTCTAGGGTTCAGCGACAGGGGCTTGCCGGAAGTTGCAGGTTTCGCTATTCCAGCCTTTGGGGCTCCGGAGGCTGTCGATCCAGTTGCTGATGGCTGTGCGGTTGTCTGAGCCGAAGCTCCCCCAGCCCCACGGGGTACCGGAACACTCTTAGAGGTATCCTCGGCACGAGCTTTCGAGTGAGTTTTCGGTTTGGGTGAGTTTTGAGCCTGCGCGTTTGGCTTGAAAGTTGACGATGGAGTTTGCGAATTTACTTTCGCATGAGCTCTCAAGATTGACTTGGGTTTCGGAGCGATTGGTGCTGCAGAACCGGCGCGCGCGGCATCAGTTTTGATCTTCTTGGGGGCCGGCGGCGCGGGACCTGTACCAAGGGGAACCCCGCCGTCGCTGCTAGATGAGGCGTAGCTATCTTCATCACCCGTAGCCATCCTCCGCTTCCTGTTGGCAGACGGCGGTGCGGCATTTCTTGCTGAAGCGATAATCCTTGGGTCCTTGGCGATGGAGACATTAGGCTGAACTGGGGTGGGAGTTGGTACTGTGGGAGGGCGTGGTGAAGAACTCGGTGAAGCTTCCTTCTTGGCTGGCGACTGAGTGCTCGGGAGTGCCGGAGATGAGAGACTTGAGATGATGGCAGGGGCAGGTACCATTGAATGAGAAAACAAGCAATGCGGTAGGGAACAGGCTGATCCAGATTTTATTGCTGGGCAAGGTATGCTCTTCCATAATGGCAACGGACGGAACATAGTGGTGTATACCTCTTTGTTCCGCTATTTGTGGAACTGATGGAAGGTGTATAAGTGAAGGGCGGAGGTGGGGAGGGGGGGGGGTAGAGAAGCAAAGCTCAGTGAGTGAGGTGATGGAAAAGAGTGTGGTGGTTGGGTAAATTTAGATTTTGAGGCGAGAGGTAGAGATGTGTGAAGGGGGGGAGGTATTGAATGAAGGAGCGAGAAGGCCGAGAAGGCACCAAGCGAAGCGGGAAAGAAGGATCACGGGGCAATGGTTCACCTCAGGGGGAGAATGAGTAAACGGCAACAACAGAAACTAACATTAGGCTAATATCGGTACTGTATAGTGTAATCCTCAATGGCGAAATTCAGGGGATTAATGACTTGATTGCTATCCAGCGTGCCCCTAGTAAGCAGTTATTCCTTTGTGGCAGCAATTTCGTACCTCACCCCTACGTGCTGAAGAATACGCATAATCGAGGTGGGAGGTGGAAGCAAAAATGCGGCTCAACATCTGAGGCACAGGGCTGACGCCGTTGCAGGCGTGGCAAAAGTCAAGGCGAAAGGTCGATCCTTCCCTAGTGTCATACCGGTAGAAGGGTTGGGCGTGAGCCGGGGTGCTCGAGTGGGTATAATTGTGATAATAATTATATGGTGCTGTTAAATGGACAAGGTTGTAGAAGGGAGCTGAGTATTGTATAAGTTACCGGTTATAACCCTTGGGAGCTTTATCAGTACTCGAGTAGTATATCACAATCAAGAATCTTTTAAATATGGTAGTGGCCTCTCTGGGCTGGTGATAGTGCTTTATGTCCTTACTTGTACAAATAAATTTAGTCCCCTCAATTCCACCGCCCCCCGCCAGGCACCTCCTCTGGCACTATGGCCTATTATCTCTCGATGGAAACAATGATTTTGTAAATCACAATGCTGCGAAAGCACTGTATCGTACCATGCTGCGCGGCCGAGTTGAAGCCAGACACCCTCGTAGAATGGTGGTCGGCGAGCTGGTACCAAAGAAAAGTGCCCACTTTGTGCCCAATTCCGCGTAGCCGGCCAACCCGCATCCTGTCCACCCCCATCCACTTGATGATCTCTTGATATGTCTCCAAATCTGCACCCCACAAGCAATAGAACGCCGGCACCACATATAGGAGGAGCCGGAATAGCGCCTAAGTTAGGGTTCCTCAAGAGAGCAATTCTAGCACTCAAGTGGCATGCAAATACAGTATGTTGTGTGCCATACCGCTTACTTGAGGATCAATAATATGTCTCGGCGCAGGCCCAATGATATCGTACCCGTTTATTCGCTCGGCAATCACTACCGCACCCTTCTCGAGTACCGGTACTACGAGTTGGTTGTTCGGCTCCTATTCAGCCGCGCGAGTATACTCGAGCACTTATGTTTCGGAGGTACGATATCATAACTGCAAGCGGTAGACTATCCCTATCATAGGTACAGGTATTCCTACTCCACCATGAGACACTTGCATAAACCATTCTTACAACCCTTTTATCATTATTCTTATTGTTGCTGTAACCACCTACCACCACTCGAGTATTAACCCCTCACAAGGCCTCCCACTCTCCCACTCAACCAATAAAATTCACTTCAACTCCGTAGCTAACCCCCCCCCAGCATACCTGTCGCCAAGCCAGATGGTAAAAATACACTCCGCATCCGGGGGGCAAAGGAAAGGGCAAAAGCAGTGGCAGCAAGCAAGTAAGCAAGCAAGAAGCGAGAGGGAAAGAAAAAAGGGAAAAGGAAACAATCACAACGAAGAGTCTGACAAGGAATTCCTAACCGACTTGGAAGCCTAACAATGTGCAGTACTGCCTGTACTCGGGGTGAGCGAAAGTACGGCGAATTCTTTCTGATAGATTGGTGAATTTGTATGACAATGCACATGTAATTGGCTATATCTGACTGTCAAGCATCCAATTTGGAGGAGGGGAAGAAAGTCTGGCGAACTCCGTTTTATACTTTGTTTCAAGAAACATTTTACTTGATGAAAATTAAAGTAGCATTTGCTCTAGCCTACTAAGAAGCCTCTCTGAACCAATGCTCCTCCTATGCAGCATGTAATATCATCTATATTTTGTATATGATACCACTGTTATGAATGGAGTTGTTGGGTTGAAGGAGGCAAGAGTGCTAAGTGAAGTGGGGAGAAGGTGATGGTTGGCTTTTTAGCTGGTGATACTGTTATTACTCGGAAGGTGCCAAGAGTATAGATGCTAAAATGGAATTTTCTCGGCTCATTGATTTGCTCAAAATAATACATAAGTTACCAATCAGAACGAGCTCGCCGGACTTACCCACAACACCCGGGTACTTGTACCATATGAGTACAGTGCCCCACCATGCGGTAGTCGAGACTCCGTAATTTTTGCTTTTTTCCCACCTCCTTCGCCAATATCATATCGGCAAGTTGCCTACCTGGTGGGTGGGCGAATGGAAGTGCAGGCGGGAGAAGTACGGGAGAAGGGCCGGGTGTATTGGTTTGTCAGCTGTACAGTACCTCAGGTTGGTATCTCTGAGCTTGGATTGGGTTGACTAGGTCGGCTGTGGAATATCGCTCTGTGGGGGATTACTGTGCCGCCCAATACTGGACTGTAACCTGTGAGACTTGTGAGACTTGTGGTACTGTACGGTACTGTGCATGTGATACAAGCAGTATGATACCTACTGTAGAGGAAAGTGACAGCAATGGCCGATTAACCGTAAACCTGCTAAATGATCCCTGTCTTGAATGAAAACACAAAAAAACATCTCACCGGGCCCTCGTACATGTGAATACTTCAATCGGAGTAGCCGCTCTTTCATACACACACACACCCTCTCTCTCTCCCCACTTCGCACCCGCCCGCCCACCCCGCCCACTTGCCTGTTTGCCTGATGGTTGGATGAATTGAGTATCAAATAGTTCAAGGTAGGGGTGATGACGCTACTTCACTCCTGTCCCTTTGTCCACAAGAAGGAACCGACTGGACAAGGGATTGTTAATTCTGTACAGCGGGCTGGATCGGGGAAATGTATTGTATGCCATGGCACTGTATGGTATGGTATAGTATTGATAGGTGGATAAAATCCGTGAGGAAGAGGGGTGGAATTTCTGTGCCATGGTTATTTATTGCATTGTGACTTGACTCGTCCCCTACCTCTCCACCAGCTGTTGTACTCGAGTATGATACGAGACACCGGTAATCTCCTACTTGAACAGCACCATGAAGACCGGCGAGTGATGAACATGGATTTTATGTGATAATAATTTACAGTATCATAGTATGATAGGTATATTTCTGTTACCCTACCTACATTGACGGATTCACTTTCTTACCTGCCAAATATCCCTGATCGTCGCCCACTGGTTTTCGTCGTGCCCCGTTGAAGACTGCTATGAGGCTTGAGTATCGTGCTCCTCCTACTCCCCCTACTTCTCACTGTTCATGCCCACCATTGATTCGGCCGTCATTAGCCCTCGAACCGCTGAGACCTCCTAGTCTAGTTTGTAATCTGGAATACTAGCTTGTTCTAGTAAACTTTGACTACATGTACCTTAGCAATCCTACTTTATACCACCCCTGGCCGAGTCATGATGAACAGCAGATTACTCGAGTGCTATAGGTTTTGCCGTGTTCCGAGCACTTACTGCCGTTCAGAGTTCTATCGTTTTTACTATCCCGATTATTGTGATAGGCTGGTATTCCAGATTAAAAACTGGACTAGAATGTCTCAGCGGTTTTAAGGGATGATTAAAGGTATAATAATGACACACAAACAATACCGGTATCATGGTAGTACCTGTAACTGTTGCTCCCATCTGCTTTGGGTCATGATATGATCTACAACTAATGGACCACAGTACCGTTATGCACAATTGCTGCCCTATTAAAAATATATACTACCGCATTTCACACCCAATTCTCAAATTCCCTCCCACTTACTGGACCGGCTAGCTAGCTACTAGGGCTGTGTTATGGTGTTTCCTTTTTATTTTCAACTCTTCTTCCCAACTCTTTCCCACTCTCCATTTCCTCGAATTCCCAATTCTATCACTCTTTGCCCTGTACAATCTGCACCCTCGATCATGCATATCTCTCTCAATTCTTCATTTTTACACTTATCAGTCATTTGCCTGATATTTTGGGACTCCTGTCCATAGGTCTCTTAGCTAACCATTTACCACCAATTGACGACACCGGAAGTAAATGTTCCCTCTTAAGCGTAGATAAGTGCTTATCCCCGGCCTGCGGATGGTTAGATATGTTGGGGACGAACACCTCCCCTTGGTTAACCCTCCTCCCCTCCACCGGCACCCCTCTCACTCCGCTCTTGCCTCCCTTGTCCTCGGTTGTCGGCTACTGACGCTTCAATTCTTTATTCGTGCTTCGAATGGGGAGAGGGAAAGGGATTTCACCGCATCCTCTAGGCCTCCTAGTACCAGGGTAGGTTACGGAACAGACAAAAAATCATATTCCAAAAAAATCCCCCAAGCACTCCCTTAGATCGTTCTCTCTAGGACACTCCCACTCATGCATTGTGCGCATTCGAGTGAAATCAAGTGATTCTCCGCTCCGGTAGCCATAGAGTGATGGGGAAGGATAGGATAAGATCAATACTATATTAGTTAAGATAAACAAAGAGTGAGACTAGGATAGTGAGCGTTTGTCGGGGCGGGCCCGGAGGAGCAGTGGGGGAAGGAGGAGTGTAAGAGGAGAAAAGGGAAATAGGGGAAAATCTAGGTAATATTTCTCTCCCCCTCCCTCCCCCTCCCCACCCACCTTCTCTCCTCCCCTTCCATCCTGGCCTATAACATCATCTTCCTCCCCTCCTATTTGCTACTCTCCCACCTTTCTCCTCCGTGTCTGTTTTCTCCCCCATTAGTTCGGTCTCTCCCCACCCCCGTAGCTCCCTTTGCCTCCTCCTACATCCACCACAGTTCCATCCACGTTGAGCCCCTCTTTCGCTATTAATCGTTTTTTTCTAGACTGCCTTAGTTTTCACGATCCCTCTGGGATTTAGTACCATCATCACCATCATTGAAATCGCACCTAACCTCCATTTCCCTACCAAAACTACAGCGTACAATGCCGCCCATCAGAGTAGCAATTATCGTGTAATTTGTCCCTCCCTCTTGATATCCGACCCCACATCGGTCCAAGTTTCTGAGCATGAACAATTCTTCCTTCTTTTCGTCCCAAGACAAGGAAAGATAAAGCACCTCGCTAACGACATTTTCGTCGATATGTCCTCGTGCAGTTTTGACAACGTCGAAATCCTCGACTTTGCTGGGCCCATGGAGGTTTTCACGATTGCTGCCAAAACACCCTTCCCGCAAGGGGCGCCGTATCGAGCCCTCCCGCCGGGATCTGAAAGAACGACCTTTGATGTGGCTATCCTGTCACAAACCCAGACCATCAGGACTTCTCACGGCAGAGGTTGCGTTATCGAGCGGGATATAGACCTATTCTCACAGGAAGGTCAGGACGACAAATGGGATGTCGTTGTCATACCCGGAGGTGTGGGTACTAGGGAGCAGATGGAGAATCTCCATCTTCTGGACTGGATTTCCAGATTTGCTAGAAGAAATCGTGGGAAGCGCAAGACGATATTGTCTGTTTGCACAGGCACCCTACTTCTTGCCAAGGCTGCCATCTTGGACGGTATGAAGGTGACAACCCATTATAGTGCTCGGGAGACGTTACAGAGCATCATCAAGGAGGGCGGCGGAATGGCAGAGGTTGTGGAAGATAGGGTGGTCGCTGAAGTTCTTAGAGGGAGTGGGGGTGAGGATCTGGGAGTCGATGTGGTCACCAGTGGAGGTGTTAGCAGTGGGATCGACGGTGCTTTGTATGTTGTCAAGAAGCTTGTTGGGTTGGATGTTGCGAGAGGGGCGGCTGAGTGGATTGAGTATAATTGGAATGATGCTTATTGAGGCCTGAAGGAGGGGTATTATGGTACGAGTTTGAAGTGGGGTGGGGGAGGGGTTTAGAATGCAAAAAAGTCCTCTTAGGTGTTAGGGTATGGTTGTTTAGGATTATTAGGAAAAGAATGAGATTGGGAAAGGGTGAGCTATATAAATCCAAAATCTTTTTTACAAATAGGAGGAGCGAATTTATGCAACTGCACAAATTTACCCCCTTTGACAGTCAGCCCAGATACTTCAATCAAATAAAATTTCTCTCGATCTATGCCTCACAATTTATCCTTCACGATGAAGACGCAGGTTACGAAAACTACCGATCTCCCTCCCAGTGTATTTTTCCCCAAGAAACATGTATTACAATGCTATCATACTCCAATCCATCCATCCACACCTCCCGTGCCATCAATCCGGTTGTCAATCCATCGGTCATCGTCAGAGTGCGAGAGTAGTGATCATACATTAAACAACCACACAATTAAGCGTTTTAGTTGCCCTTCAAATAATCACGGATTGACCCTTTTCCAACAGCCCTCTCAATCCCTCCACCCACATCACCGAGTACCTGCTCCCTCTCAGCTGACTGCTTAACCGGGTGACTTTCAGCAACTCGCCCTGAGTCCTCTTTGCCAATATCAGTGACCGGCTTGGCGTCATTCGGAATCTTTGACCAACGAAGCCCAGGTTCGTTAGCCCGTTCATCGAGTGGAGTATTAGGTGCGACCCTATTCACTTCATCGGTGGGTCCTGCGCCAGCAGATTGTTTAGGCCCCTTGTCTCCTTCTCTATTGCCATCGTGAGGTCCATTGTCGTCTCTCGTAGATTGCCTACTAGTATTCGATCTGCTAAGGGCAGTTTGTGACAACCAAACAGCGCTATCTCCTGCACTTCCGCCTAGCGCCTCCCTAATAGGTCTTCCCTCGGGATCTAGAGCAAAGGAATCATTTGTCAGAATACCTCCCTTGATCGCGCCGGGTTCCCCAGATTTCTCCAGATCAACCCTGACCTCATTGTACGAGTAGAGTTCTCCATCAGATTTCTTCCCGTGGATCTCGCGAACCTTTCCGCCGCCAGTGGTGTTTGGTGTTGAATCCTGTGCCGTAACCGCAGTGACGGCTGTGGGCTTGCCTCTTGGAAAGTCATCACTGGAACGAAGTGATTCGGCTGCTAGAGAGTCAGTTGTGATGGTATCGGAGAGTTCCGGCTTCTGGTCCCTCTTTGCGGTTGAGTTGGTAGTGTTCTTCGTGCTCTTGGTCGGGTTCGACTGCTTGGTGTCAGGATCCGGTGGAAATATAGTTCTTGACCGGGGAATTGGGCGGTAATGTGGGGAGTGCGAAGGGTAAATTGTTGGTGAATGGAAGATGTAAAAGTGTGGAGATTTGATTAGGGGCATTGGTGCTGTTGATGGGAATGTAGTATGGGGGAAGTTGTGCGTACCTTATGTGTGAAAGACAGGGTATCGGTACTTTATTTTCGGGTGCATTAACTACGGGTTTTGCTTTTTCGACCATTCCTATTGGTCGTACGAACGCCGAATGTTTGAATAGCGGGATTGTGGAGCACGAGCATCAAGACGCAATGAGACGAGGCATTGTATACCGGCATTAATCTCCAGCAAACCCGGGGCCTGGTCCCTGGGGCGTGGTACCTGAATTGTTGCTCTTATGTCATAGTGAAGAAAATTTGGAGGAAAGCTATCTGGTTGAGAAAACGATGGATCGACCGACGCTACTTGAAAGAAAAGTCGGGATATCAATAGTTATCTGATCTGATATTGGTGACCTTCATATAGATCTGCGATGCTTCAGCTGAATATCGGAGTTTGTTTCCTAGTGAGAAGATTGTAGGGATGGTTAAGAGGAAGATCGCTGGTCACTCAGAAGTGGAGTTTTGCGAATAGACGAATACCGGTATGGAGGGGTGTGAGTTTGCTGGGTGGTACTAGAGGTAGGGTGAAAGTATTGGGACGAGTAGGGGTTCGATGTCTGTGCAACTTACTCAAATTAGTATCTTCAATCCCACTTCAAGGAATTCACACAGACATCAAGACTCCTGCTTGTCCCAATACTTCATCTCCACCCCAAGTACAATTATAATCGATCATCGTGTTTCGAAGGACATGCTTCGTCTCCGTTATAACCACAGTCAAAGAAAATAACCACGTAAGATTCGTTGCTAAGCCTTTCTCGGATTAGTTAGAAAGCCCCACTCCCTTAACATCTTCATCACTTACCTCTCACAGTATAGGGACCTGTAATTATGGATCCTGCTGCTACTTCTTTTACTGCTTGTTGATATAGTAAAGGAAAGAAGTCTAATAGGGAATTCATCCTACAGTAATTAGACAAAAGTCTTGGTAATTGTTCCTTTTCACACTAAAAACGGGTAAAATTCCAATATTTCAATAGATGTTATCTCATTAAGGGCTGGATTACACTTTTCCTAAACTCCGAGTTCAAAGTAATTTTACACGTATAATATCTCATGATTCATTTGAAGTGTATCCATAACTGACTGAAGGTTTCAAAATTTTGTGAAGTTCTTCCATTGCTTACAATTTACAATTATTACCAATTTACTACAATAATTATCCTAGCAATCCTACTCCATATTATCAAGATATTTGTCTTATTACTATACCTACTTTAATTTAGCCTTCTAATAATGAAGAAGGCTAATCCTCTCTGTCACCTATTTTTAAGCTTTAAGATCTCTTCTAACTTAAATAACCACATAGTATTATACCATGTAGGAATTCTTTCACTTCTGAATTGATTAATTTCTTAATGCTGTAGTCCTTTTTGATATTCATACTGAATACCTTCAGAGTATAGGTGTGATTCCTGTTTATTCAGATTATTAAATATTAAATCACAATTCTAACTCTTACAATCAGTACAGCCTAGTAGTTATTTAATTTTGTAAGGTATATGTTTTTAATAGCAATGTAGATGATATGAATGTAACACAAAGAGAATATTGTAGGCAGGATTCTGACAAGGAGGTAAAAGGTGGAAAAGAAGATTGTTAGATATAACAGGAGCTCCCTCTGGGAAGATAGATCCCGAGGTTGCAACTACACAGAGATGAATTCTTCTGCAAATGTGAATAAATAGAATAAATGTCAAAGTCTCAACAGTAGAGTTTGAAGAAACAAAATGGTAAAACTTAATATCGTTAAACTACAGCTTTACTAAATTAAGTCCTGATCTTGAGAGATAGTTGATTGCCAGAGTAGAGGAGAACTCACATATACTTAAGTAGATTTCATATACTGCCAGTTGTTCCCTATTATTACTTTGCATTAGTGAACACCCAACTAACTTGGACTGTCTAACCAAGCTCTAAGCATTGGACCAAAGATACTCCATAGTGAACTAGACTATTCTGTGGTTTTCGAACATCTACCTGACAGATGTGTTTTGGCTGCTGCATTTACCATGCAACTATGGGAGTAAAAACTCTTCTAATTGTAAACATGTCAGTAGTGAGCTGAAATGCCTGAGTGGATGCAATACCAACTATGGAACTCTCTACCCATATACACTTAGTTTTCTACAAGCATCCGCAGCCTGTGAACATCTATCCGGTTCTATCCTATTGCATATTATTCTGGGTGATCGCTACCTAGCTCTCCTGACTAACTCCTTTGGAGGTTGACTACCAATAGGTGCTACCCACAGTCAACCCTCCTAAAAGTAGGTCTTATTGTAACCTCAGATTAGTATCTCAGAGTTCTTAATAATTCTCTAATACTATTACACTTTCGGGACAATGGACTTCGGTTATCTCGCTTATAGGCCCTTACAACTTCACATACTGGTTTTAACTTCAAAGTAGTATTACTCTATCAGTTCTGATCCATTTTGAATGATGCCACCTGGAGACCATTCTCCAGGTTTACCTCTACCCTTCATATATCCCGCGGATAGTTTCTGGTCTGACAGATGGCATGAGCACATAAGGTATTATAGAAGTGTCTCTATTGATAAACTTTTACTAGGCTTACAGCAACTCTCCAGGCTGTAGCCTATGAAACTAGGGACTTAAGACGGGGTCCGAAGAGAGTGTTAGCCACAATACCTCCAGGTTACAGCTCGTTTGAAGTTCAACTGGTTGTGCAGGAGTGATCTGAACAACCTGAACTACCAACACTCTATGAACTCTCTGGTGACAAACAATCTAGTTGTAATGATCCCTCTTTGGATAGTTAGTTCTTAGCGATGGGGAATGATACTTCTCGTTTCTTTCTACTTCTTCCTTTGCCTTACGATAGCTCTAGGCCTCTGCCTACCTTGTCGATAGTACAAGACCTTTGTCTTCTATCGGGAATGCCTATCGTAAGCTTTCTCTAACTCATCTTCGTGAAGAACCTTTCTTGTCATAACGATAACGTTGTAATAAAGATAAAGATTGTAAGGTGTTTTATATTCGTTAAAGTAATAAGTAGGAAAAGTACTTAGAATTCAATCTAATTTTATTTATACTAGTACCGCCGACACCGGCATACGACTAGTCTCCCCCACGCCCCATAAAACAAACTATCTAAAATACACTACCGTGGACCATTCCGCCTCGCAATCACTCCCCCCAAATATAAATCCAAAATCACTACCTAAATGGGCTCACAGGTGCTCGCAGCAACTAGTGCTACCCCGGATTAATGCGTCTTCCCACCTCACTTCCCAGCCACCGTCTCATACCCTCACCCCTATTCGCCTCCAACATAATCTGTCCCATGTGTTCTACAAAGGAAACATACAGTGTATCCCAACATCCCTCTGTCCTTTTATAGTGTAGTCCCAGGTCCATGTACCCCTCGGCCAGAACCATCCCACAAAATGAACAACACTCTTCTTTTAACAACCCTTTTGTCTTAGCCCACCACAAAACCACCGACGTTCGAGTCGCGAGGTCCAGCTCGTCCCATTGTTGGTACTGAGAATGCCAGAACCAATTGTGACACGTTCGTAAACAGCGGGGCTTTTTCTCAAAGTGTTCAGCGAAAGTGACTCGTTTCTGAGTAGCCGTTGCTGAAATCGCGGTCCCACAACAGGGACAGTCGCAGCGTTGCTGGTCGGGCAAGAAAAACTATTTCTTCGGCATGGTTACCAATCCCGGTAGAACGCATCCACTGCCGTCGTGTCTTTTCTCGCACCGGGTGCA